TATTGGGCTGAGATCTAATGATCTGGTATATATATATTAAAAAAAAATTCCACACACAGGTTGCTTCCTTCTGAGATCATAGAGTGCTTTCATAATGCTTCCCTTAGACCCGGCAAGTGTCCCTGGCTTTAGGAGGTTAATCGCTGTACCCTTAACAAGCATACTGGTCCACAGAGAAGGAGTCTACAAAGTCAAAGAACCATGTCCCTCTTCTGGAATGTGCTCCAGTTACCTGGGAATCTGGAGTTCCTGCCTAGATATATACAAGCCTGCTCCCAGGACCTGTAGGATTTTCTTCTTCATGTCCTAGGCTAGAGGACTAGGGGAAGAAGCCATTTCTCGGGGAATGGTATGACTAGAACTTAGAATCAGAGTGGTCTGAGGCTATCTCCATTGGCTAATGCAGAATTCAGACAAATCTAAAAGTTATAAATTCAGACCCATTCTCCTGGTTGCTCTGAAGGCACAGTAGTCAGGTTGAGAGGGTAGAATGGATTAGATTTAACAGTTGCTTAGCTGACTTTGTTACTTGTAAATATTTTAGCCTATGTACGTGAGCTTCTACTGTCATCTTTGCCTAAGATCTGCAAGTTTTAGGTGTGGATTTGTTCATTGTGTAAGGAGACGATGAAGTAGTAAACACACAAGGAAATACAAAACAAAACTGCCATTCCTAGAAGAATAAATTCACTCTCTGGCCCTAAGCTGCTCTTCTAGATCTCCACCTCTGAGTTCTTGGTGCATTTGGCAGGTTCCCCTTCACCTTGTAAAACCTTTATTCTATGGTCCAATATCCCACTACACTGGCTAAAACCTTCTGCATTATTTTTGCTCCCTGTGAACAGAGCTTTCAGGAAGCTAGCCCCAAAGAATATCAAAGGCACCCAAGTTTGTTAAATTCTCCAAGACCTGTTTCCTGTTTTTCCTTAGCGCCAAAATATGCAGCCCCTCCCTGCCCTGCTCTAGGCTGTGTTCTTGGCCCTTAGCCTCAGGCATGCCACAGCTTCCCATGGAGCAGGTGGTTTCACTCTTTGAGAAGGCACACTTTCTCTCATCTCTTCTGCTGCTTCCTATCAAACCTCAACCTTTCAACCTGAATCTGTTTCTTCTCCCTTGGTCTTCAGCAGCAACAGAGAAGCCTTCCTGACTAATTGGAGGAAAAGTAGCAAATCCCTACGAATCCTCCATTCCTGTCTTTCTGAATAGGTATCCACCCCACTGGCTGTTTGGAAACCTGCCTCTTTCTTGTTCAGATAATAAAGACATTCACTCAGGTTCATCATGTGTGTGTTCTTGATCTCTGTCAGACCCTGTGATGTCTAGGTTAGACCGTGGCATCCTAGAAGACAGGGCCACATCTAACGTGGGTCTCTTAGCCCCTGTTCAGGAAAGCAGCAGGCTTAAGTTGGCTCTTAATAAAGACTTTGGTGCTTGAAATGGAGAGACATCACTCTGTGCCTAGAGCATAATATGTGCAAGAGAAGCCATCCATGAATGTCCTCAGCCCTCCTGCCAGCCTGTGAGCTGGGGCACACTTTAACAAAGCGAGGGAGCGCTGTCGTGTACCTGAGAAATAATAAACAGTAACAGAACACTGTCACAGCTATTCTTGTAGTATCTGACTTGGTGTTCAGAGTCACCCTACAAAGCAGGGAACTTTTACAAACGAGGAGTCTGAGGAAACACACCATTCAGCCATGTAACTAGTTCATCACTCCAATTAGGGCCATCTGGCTTAAGGCGGCCTCAGCTTACTAATCACAGTGCACTGTTCTTCCAGGGGAGATTAGACAGCATTAGCCACAAGTAGAGAGTGGAAGGATATACAAAGGCCCCTGTCATACACTCTCGGGGGTCTTTGAACACAGTCTTATTGGAACAAATGCCTGAGAGGAGAACAAAATGGCTACTCGGGAACTTTCCAGCATGGCGCCAACAGGTTTTCAAGGCATTTGTTCACACCCTATCCTTCCTTCTCCCAGATCTCCTCCACAGTTGCTCAAATATTCTAAGTCTGCTCACATTTGGATTTGGGGGTCTGTTGTTTCGATGGAATGCTTCTTCTCAAATCTGTGTCCTGCTGGGTCCTCCCTATCACTTAGGTGTCAGCTTAAGACGGAGCCCTCTTAGGAAGGCTCGCCCTATTTGTTCCATGGAGTATGGATGCACGTGTCCCATCCCTTCCTCTTCCTTCGTGCTTAACTCATTCATCTTCCTGTCTGTTCCTGTCTCACTCGTTTTCACTGTGCTTCTCCATCTGAAATCACTTTGTTTGTCAACTAGTTCATTTGCCTGTTTCTGTGTCCCTCCTGGAAGGCCAGCTTCAACACAGCAGAGCTCTCACTTGCTTTGTTCCCTCACAGATACTGAGTCCTGGAGCCTCAGCATGTTGTGGCTTTGCATCCATGTGTATGAGTGAATGGATGTAAAGTCCTCTGTGGAAACCTGCAGGTGTGAATTTAACAGCCTTCCTATAACCCCTCATCACATTACAGTAAGCATTGCAAGAAGAGACCAAATCTTTATTTTTGTCAATCTTTTGGATCCTAGAGTAGCAGCAAATGAGAGCGTGGTGTGTGGGAGGGGAAGTTTTTAGTTCCTTTGTTTGAACATGGAAAAGACCAAGCTGCTCAGCTGTTTGGGTGGCAGATCGCTCCTCTCCTAGGCCAGGTAGAGACAATTGCTTCACAGAGCACTCTTCTCTCTCTCTCTCTCTCTCTCTTTCTCTCTCTCCCCCCCACATGACCATTTCTCTATCTCCCTCTCTTTCCTTCCCTACGCCCACCTCTCATTTTTCATCTTTCTCTAGAGGACCCCAGCCTCTCTCTCTTTTGTCTCCTTCCTCATTGAAATTCTGTGAAGAAAAGTGAGAAGAAAGCTGGACACGGTGTTCTCCAATCTAACAGGACACTTTCTCTAGTTACCAGTGTAACACGGTCCCATTAAAACAACTTGGCTCTGACAATGAACAAAGCCTCCCAAACAAGATAATCATCTTTAAGAAGTACTTGATTTGGCCTGTTCTCAATGCAGACACAGCCCTTCCCACCCTCCTGCATATTAAGAACCCATTCCTCTAGTGATGTTAGCTTTTTTTATTCCAAGCTCCATTTATGACACATAGTAAAGATGATAAACAACAATGACAAAAGTCCCCAACCATTGATCAGACCTTGTACCACAAGAGGGCATTTCATAGTATTGCTAATGATTTTTTTTCTAATAAAATACAGCTTTTCCATGATTTTTTTTAAAAAAAAAACCACCATGTTAATCATATGTTAATCTCTTACAAGGTAGTTTCACACTTCTGGGCTCTCCTACCAAGATATGGGAAGCAAATGGTATCTCGTGGAAGTTGGAAAAGAGGCCTAGAGGCATAGAGTTATTTGAAGAATACTTCACAGCAGGTGAAATATTATCTCAGCACACGTTCCAAGACTTGCTGTTTTCTAGAGACAAGAGAGCTCTTGCCAGAAGGCATGTTTCCAACAGCCCCTCTGATATGCACACAGGCGCCAGCCCATATGGGAGGAAGAAGAAATAGTTAGGAAGTTAATAAGCAAAATCACTCTATGTTTTGGAAAAGCTGAGGTCCCTGGATGAGACAAATCCTGACCCAAAATGAGGCTCGTCTTTGCCATTAGCCCCAAACCCACACACCTACCTAAGCTTGGTATTAGCAATGGAGTAATGTGCTGGAAGAAAGGCACTGAATGAGCAGTGTGGACCTCCTCGTCCACCAGCATTCCATTTGCTGCTCTAGGTTATCATAGTCATAAGAAGGCGGAGCCCAATCTCTGAGATACTTATTCCCTACTTCCTTTCATAACGCCCAGGCTGCAGCCCCAGGCATCACCGGTCTCTAAGTGCTCTGCCCATTCAGAAATATGGGAAGAAAAATGAATGAAATTGTCAGCTAAGCCTTCAGCTCACATTGTAAGCAGGAACAGGGTTTATCAGGAACACCAATGTAGCATCCTGCTGCACTGACACCTATCCATGAAGACCCGGGCTGCTGAAGAGGTCGCTGAGGTGAACACAGAACCCTGCCTGCATCCCAGTCAGATGTTCCCTCTCCTGCATCACTAGCCAGACCTGATTTACAGGTGAGCCTTTTTTACCTGGGACTCTTTGTTATGTGTTCTCACATGTCAGGACTGAAATGAATTAACACATCTATCCAGTGGACACCAGTCAGTCAGTGGACTGACAGGAGGGCTTTCTGTGGAGATCTGAATAGATAAGGAAGGGAGAACTTGCCTGACTTGACAAAAAAAAAAAAGAAAAAAGAAAGAAAGAAAAAGAAAAAAGAAAAGAAATCTCTGTTCCATGCCATGGATGGGGAAAGTTTAAGGGAAGGCAAGGGAAGGGGGAATTATCTAGCAAGATTCTTTCACTTAAACTCACTCTGTCTTAGGATATCTGCTTCCAAGAAGAAAAATTCAAGATCACCAAAAAGTGTCTTGGGAAATTGAGGTATTCTCAAAGAAACAAAACAAAAACCAAACAAACAGGATGTTTGTACTTCAGTCTGTGAGAATAGGAAGCAAGAACACATAATCTTACACAGTTTCAGGAAAGGAAGACATGTGACTGTAAAGCTGAATATGGGCTCAGGGTGGGGTGTGTGATCTTTACTAGCAAGAAACCAGCTAAGAGTGGTTTTCAGCAACAAGCTTGAAGGTCCGTCTGAGCCTCTTATTTCATTGCTTCTGGATCTCCTGTTTTGAGGTGCTGATGGAAGTTTGGGGATGAAATTGAAAAGACTTACTTTGGGAGAGGGTACAAAAATCAAAGGGCAACTGAGATCATTACCAAACAGGCTTCCTTCGGCATCTATTGGTCAGCTCCACCACGAGAAACATTGAGAGACTCAAAACACCACAGCCCTTGACACTAGACATAGCACAGTGGTTCCCTGGGGCAAATAATTAAATGGCAATCTGCATGACCTGGAGATACCACACACCAAAGCAGGGGAGGGGGAGAGGACTCACCTGTTCTGGTCCCTGGAAACAGATACGGCAGAGGGGCGTTCTCATACCACTGTCCAAGCTACTTCCCAGAGAGTAGCAGTCCTCAGTTTTCTCCTTACAGAATTCATCAGAGGAAGCACTGCTGAGCAGGGAGGCAGGTGGCCCTGTGGCTGGGCCATCCCAGTCATCTTCCACAGAAGGAGGCAAAGGTGGTAGAGGTGGCAGAGGAGGGGTCTCCCTGCCCACCGCTTCTCGGGGGCCCCTCCAGCCTGCCCACCCCCCGGCACCCAGAGCCGGAAGGGTGTTGTTGTTGGCCGCCACACCAGGGAGCTGGGGGTCACCGTGCATGGGCAGGGGCGCTGGAGGGGGGCGCCTCAGTAGGAAAACCTTCAGGTCATTGAAGAGCATTCGGCAGCGGCACTTAAGGAGACCCTGGTGGCGCAACATCTGTGGAGCTGGGGTGCAGAGTCCACAGCAGTACCAGCCCCAGCAGCAGCAGCACCACCACAGCAGCCCACCCAGGGGCATGAGCATGTGATAGGGAAGCAGAGGACTGGAGAGGGGCAGCTGGAGTCTTTGAAGAGGTGGGTAGGGTGGGGCTTGGGGTCCACAGTGTTGCTGTGTTATGAAGGAACCTTCTTTCTTATTGGCTCTTCTTATAACCCCTCCAAGCAGCAAATAAATTACACACACACACCCTAGACTGATAACTGTGAGTCAATGATTCTGAACGACACTAAGGAAATGCAAAGTAAAAAAGTTTTCCTTGCTCTAGCAGCCCCGCCCCAATCTCAGACTTAGTTCTGGCTGCTGTCTCCTTTCTGTTTTTGACCCCAGAACAGGGAGCAGGGCAATAGAAGAGGCATCAAGGCTGGGATGCATGACCAATGTCTAACTGTTAAAAGTTCCCAAAGAAAGGGTTGCTAGGTTCTTCTCAAATCCCTAGGCTGTGGTAAATCTCTTTTATATAAAAGGGTGGATATAAATCAAATTTGGAGCAGCTTAGGGAACCCAGCTCAGTAAAGAATTGAGAATTGCACATGAGAGAGAAAAGATAGACTGCCTCAGGTCATACGAAGTGGTTGAGGGAAGGCAAGATTGGGTGAGGGTAGGAGAAGTTCTAATTCTCTTGGGCAGAAAACCGGGGCAATTAACCCCCAGCAGCACCAGAGTTTCTTTTAAGAGAGGAATTGGAGGGCTGATTGTGGGTAAAATTGGGCAAAGAGCTTCGCCTTGTGCTTCGCCTATGCAGCCAAAAGGCTACACAGAAGAGGTGGGATATAGGGCGGTGGGCCGGGAAAGGACAGAGGAAAAAGAGATCCTTAACCCTGGGAGGGCTGCTGCCTTCCAGACCCCAAGGTCCTGAATAGAGGAAGGGTATGTGTTTGGGGTTGAGAAGGTGACAGAAGGATCAGAGAAAGGAGGTAGCGAAGAGGGGCGTGTGGGAGGGGACAGGAAAAGGGAATAGTTACATGATCTCAGCCCCCAGCCCACTCCAGCTGCAGTCTGTAAGTCGGAGGCCCCTCCCCTTGGTTCCATCAAAGGTCCCTTCGGGCGAGGTTCGAGAGCTGAAAGATGGGCAGGTCCGGGATGGAAAGTGCCCTCGCTTTCTCCTCCTCGTCCTCTTCTGGGTCGCCCTCCTCCTCCTGCTCTGGGTCTGCACGCGCCCGGCGCTGCTGCTGTGGTGGCAGAAGCGACTGCTGGTCGGCGTCCTGGTGTCTCCCAGGCGGGGGCTGCTCCTGCTGGTCCTCTGGCTGCTGCCCGCGGTCCAGCGCGGTCGCGACTCCAGGCTTCATGATCCTCCTCCTCTTCCTTCCCGAGGGGCTGGCCCTGAGCCCCCGCGCCCGGGCAATGCTGCCATGCAACCAGAGACAAGGCAGGCGTGGGGGTAGGGGCGGTGGGGAAGTGATGGGGAGAATAAAAAATAAAATAATACTAATGGAACAATTCAGTTCTCGGATAATCAGGAAAGAGTGCTTCTGGTGGGTGGGAGCGGAGGAGGGCGGCTGCCAGGTCCTGTCGACAGCTCTGCCCCCGCTCCCCCCACCTTGGGCGGCCTCGGCCCGCTCTTTGCTCCCACCCCCACGCCGCCCCTCCTTCCTCCTGCTGCCTCTGGCTGGCTAGGCTCGCTTGCTGTTGCTACCTCTCGCAGATGCACCGAGGTAAGGCTTGTTTGCGGTGTAAGCTGAAGGTGGGGAGGAGGAATAGAGACGGTGTGGTCGAGATGGTCAGACAGACGGCACTTGGCTCCAGCTTGGTCCTGGAGACTCCCCAGAACCGTATATAAATATATCTCTTAGAAAAGCCGAAAAGGAAGCAAATCAGATTCCAGCCTGCTGCCAGGTGTTGTCTTCCGCCGTTGCTCAGCACCCGCCGCCGCGACTGCTGCCCCCCTGGCTCAGTTCCCAAAGGGGTGGTGCTGGAAGGGAGGTGCCGGGGCGGTAGGCTGACGGTCCGAGGACTGGAAACAAGCTTCTTAGAGCGGAGAAGGCACCCAGCCACTTCCTTCCACCCGAGCGGCCGTGAAACCGCTGCTGCGTTCAGCACCTGGGTGAGTGGACAGCTCCCACCCAGACCCCCGCGCGTCACGCCAGTGGGAGCCTGACGCAGACGCCGCTGAGGGATGGAGGAGGGAAAGAGCGAGAGACTAGAAGAGAGGGAGCCACGGGAGGAGAGAGAACTGTTTGAAGGAAGAGGATAGGGAGGAACCAGGGGAAAGGGAGGTACGAAGAGAAGGAGGGATTTAGGAGAGGAGGGAGGAGGCAATGAAGAGTAAAAGAGGCAGAATGGGAACTTGGGTGGTGGAGTGACGCGTGTATTCGCTCCGCATCTTTTCCCAGATAGAAAGAATCCTGGTGGACAGTAAGCTCCCTGCCCACTGTTCCCTCTCACCACTTCCCTCAGCACATACACACCCAATACAGTTCCCTTTTAACCAGAATCCACAACGCTCTACTTGACACGCACTTAAAGTAGATGTCACTTAGTAGCTTTGGAAAAGATAAAGTTTTGTGACTTCCATATTGAAGCTGGCACCTGATGGAGGTTAAATCTCTTATGACTTAAGAATTCACGAGAAAAGTGTTTTTTAAACCTTCAAGCATTTTTGGCCTCTAGAATTTAAACTGCAACGGGAAAGGAAATGTCCTCTTTTCCCTCCCCTCCCCTGCCCTTGGCTCCCCAGGGGGGGGGCGCGGGCGGCCCGCCCCGCCGCGCGCGGGGGGGCGCGGCGGCCCAGGCCCGCGACC